TCGAATTATATAAATATAATTCTAGAATTATCTTGAACTTAGACAATTAATATTATATGAATCTTTTGAATAACCTATCTACAAAATCCCTGTCTTCACTTTTGAGGCCAATAATTTCCTTGTCATAGAATAGTTCTAATGACTCGGATGTTCTCCATCGTCCTAATTTCTTAACAGTGTGTAAGGGGACGTTGCACTGGAGTAGGAGAGTGGCCATTGCTGTACGGGTAGAGTGAGACTTGAACTGGGAAGTGTCAATATTGGTCTTCGAGAGGAGATTCATGGTGATCTTGGAGAAGTCACTGTAGGTAAGTGGATGACCTTCTCCATCAATAAAAACCTGGTCTGAGTCGGACTTGGATCGGAACGGGGCGGACTTCTTGAGGTAAACCTTCAGGGAACGGAGCGGGCACAAGGCTGGCGGATCTGATTGATGAACAGTGAGCGCGGACTGGATTCCACTGTTCCTTTCTTCCTTGGCACTGGTGATAGGACCGCGGTAAAAGAGATTGTTGGTAATATCAATTCCAGAGAATGACCACTTTTCCATGTCGGATGACCTGGACAAAGTGTGAAGACGGATGAGGATTATCGTCTTGCTGAGAAGTTCACTGAAGGATAACTTGGAGTTGTCTGGAAACTTCTTGGCAATATATTTGAAAACAGGGACTGGGTTCCATATTTCATCATATTTGGGTTTAGACGGACGACTCTTGGAGATACCGGATACAACTCTCTGGATCAAGGGGTCAAATGCGAGGTCTGATTTGTTTTTGAGTTTGGCTAGCTGGGCTAGGCATGAGCGATGGACTAAGATGGTCTTGGCGGCGAGCTTCTTGTTGAACAACGAGGCAATATATCTTGATACCTTCTCGGCTGAGAGGTCTAATACATTCTGGTGTTTGCAAAATTCCGACCAGGATTGCCAACAGTTGTTGTAGGCCTTGAGTGTTGAGGGACTCCATGAAGCTTTGATTAGGTTGAGAGTGGACTGATCTTGACTGTCGGWCACTAACTCTAGAGCATTGGTGAAACTCGTAGGATTGCGAGTTTCCACCTGTCTTGAAGGTGCGCTGGGAGGTTGGAAATGGACCTTGGGGAGAGGACCTGACTGAATGATCCCAGGATCTCGGGTGGCCTTCCCTTTGGAAGGAGATCCTTTATAAGTGGATACCATGTTGGGCTTACACAATTATATATATATGGATAGATGACACGCGCCGAGCTGGCATCTAATAGAATTGTGTTCCAAAGCCAAGACTGTATATATGGCGTGAGTCTCCATCATAATGGCGAGGGTCATCATGATAGCGGAGACAACCGACTACACTAATCACACGTACGCTCATGGATGACCGTACACAATAAATACCCGGGACTGTTAGTCACTACTGGACAACAATTACCCTTACCCCCCTATTATCTGTCTATATTATTACTATCCACGCCATAACTATACACTAAAGTCTTACATGGTATCAAGAATGGGAACTGAACCTATTATTATTATCGTTATTATATTACTATTAATTACTGCTATTAAAAATGTCTGATACTGCTTCCAATACTGATGTGGAAATGGAGGAGAAGCCGGGAGTTGAGAAGGCGACGGAGAAAGATGTTGTGAACGCCGAGAACGCCAACAAGTCGAAGGGGAGTGTGTCCGAGCCTGCTGCTGCTGGTGCCAATGCTACTGTCAATGTCAATGATGATGATGAATTACCAAACAATGGAACCTCTATTACGACGACAATCCAGTACGGAGCGGTCACGATGTCCGACACCCCGCCTGCTCAACCTGATGCCAGTCCTTCAGCTGCAGGATCCAAGCCTGCTCCAAAGGTTGCCAAACCTGCGCCTACCATGCCCAAGAATGTGCCAACTGCGTCTACACCTGTTTCAACTGTATCCAAGGGAGCAGCCAACCGATAGTGGAATTCGTACGCGCCAACCTGACAACCGGTTCGCCCAACACCTGGACAACCGCGTCCAAGCGCTCGGATTGCAAGCCAGTGCCATGAGCCACGGTTACCCTATGACGCCTGCCTACCG